GTGAGTTTTTATTAAGCTGCTCTATTTGTCCAGTTTGGAAACAGCAAATTCCTTTTGAAATGAGAACAACTCCTTTGTTTTTGGGTCGCCTGAGCCAGGGATTTGTAGGGGCTGGCCATAGGAGGAGGAACAGTGGGAGTCGGGGACAGGGGGAGGCAAGGCATGGAGAGCGCTGGAATGTGCCTCTGTGCCTCTTTGACTTCTCCAGCTCACATCTACCTTTTCCTTGGTAGGGCTATATATAAATATTTATGTATATATATTCATACATATATATTTAAGCAAAGGCATGTCCCAAGCAAACCTGAAAGCTCAGGCTGGCTGAAGTGGCTCGGAGTGGAGCCTCTTGGTGTGGCTGAGCGTGTACTGTGTGCATGCTTCTCCTGTTCCTTTGCTGCTGTGGAGGTGAAAGGGTGCTCATGCATTGAGAGAAATGCTGCTTTCCTTTGACTTTGGTTCACAGCATCCACTGTCTTTAGCAGAAGAGCTGTTGTCTAGCAGGTAAAGCAGCAGGAAACCATTTGTGAGAACAGCTGAACTCTGTTCCTGCATCTGCTCCTGTCCTCTTGTGTGATCTTTGGGGAGAAACCAGAGCGCCAGCCCCAGAGGTACCTGGTGGTCCTGGTGAGCACTGGGCATCCCGAGCGCCCGCTGCAAGTCAGTGTCTTGCTGGTTGGAGCTAAGTCTCCATTACTCCGCTGGCTGGCAGGGTCTGGTAGGATGTACCTGTACCCAGGGGAGGGTGGGAGGCATCATGGCCTGGTGGGACAGCACCATGAGATCTTCTGTCCAAGGGTGATCTTCAGTGCTAATCTACTCCTTGCCGACAGCCGTGTCAGAGCTCCATGCAGCTGGGGTGGGTGAATGGGTGAGAACAGTAGCCAAAAGAAACAAATTTCTGTGGTAGCTGGCTAAGAAGGGAATTTAAACAAATACTCGGATGGTAGCAGGCAAGTGATTTTGTTTGTGTTTCTTCTTGTTTTGTTTTTCCTTTTGAACTCTGGCGATTGTAAGAAGCTTTAGAAGAAAATAGAATTCAGTAATTAGGAACGATTTTGTGATGGATGTTGCATTTCCTTTCCATTCGCAAATGGCATCTGTTTGTCTTTTTGTTGGCAAAATGGGAAATAGGAAACTGCGATTCTAGCGGTAGGCAGAGCAGGAGCCTGTGCTGTGCAAGAACAGCAGGTCTAGCTAAAGCAAATGCATTCCTTTTGTCCTCTAGAAATTAATATAAATGACCTATCATCTGTTGACTGGTTTATATCACATCCTATGAATGTATGTAAATAAAATTGTACATAGATGCATATCTATATAAAATATCTTTTAATAACATATCAAAATTTGTGTAAATTGGAAACAAAAATACCTATAAAGCCAGTGTACATAAGTTACAATTCTGTATATTTTCTTTTGTTCTTCATAAAAAATATATTTACTTTGACAATAAAATGAAAATGGAAATTTTGAATCCCTTCTCGAAATTATTATTCATTAATTTCCTTTGTAGCCAGCTCTGTAATCAGGACAATCAGTGCTTGAAATTTCCTAGTCACCTAGCTGTAACTTTTCAGGTGCTGGGTAACAGGGAGATGATGGAACAGATCTGAAGTTGTCTTCAGAAGCTTTTTCTCATCTCAGGAAGTTCCTGGGACGCACGAGACCTCTCAGCTCTCCCTTTGCCGGAGCCCTCACGCCTCGCCTGGCAGCTACGTTGGGACCTAAATGCCTTCTGTGGTTTCTGACTGCTGTGGAACAGGTCTTCAGCTGCAGTAAAACTGTGGTTAATAAATTAGAGCAAGCAGGTTTTGAGGAAATTCAAGCTCTAGTGGTTAGTGTGAAAGATGAAGACCTTCAGAGTCTGCTTGAGACTGTGATGGTGACTCACTGTGTGACCCAGGACAAAGGACTCAATTGCCATGTGCCACAGTTCCCTTTCTTGTAAAATAGGATAATAATGTATCATAGTGATGCTGTGGGACTTAATTTACATTTATGTGATCCTTGGATGGAAGGATCAAGCAATAAGACCAGTAGTCATAGGATTAGATCGTGAAAGAAAGTCCCGGCACGGCGGAGGTCTTGGTGCCAAGGCACTTCAGTTGGCTCTTCTGTAAATCCCATGTCTGAAAGAGTGATGTGAAGGATCTGTGGTTCAAAGCATGCCTCAGGTCTGAGGAGAAGATGCCCTGTTATGCAACAGCCATTGCTTCCCATTCATATCAACAGGGGTATGAACACTATGCTCTTGTGACCTGCAAGCCCGGGCATCCCTTGCACTGTGCTTTTGGTCGCTTGGTCTTCACTGGAAGAAGAAACCAGCAACATTACTGGTGTTAAAATCACTTCTGAGTCTCCATGGGAGCAATGATGCAGTGGGTCCAGATCTTCTCCCAGCAAGGATCACTCTGAGACTAATGGGCACTTAGGGATTAAAGTGTCTCCCTGAAAAGCAGCCACCAAAAGATGCCAGCTGATGAGCCAGGGCTCTCCAGACCCTTGGTTATTTTTCCCAGAGAACCCTTATGAGTCTGGCAAGAGGACCGAGGCATGAGGCAGACGAAGTTCTGCTCACTCCAGGCTCTTGTTACCTCCTGAATTGTAACCTGGAGACCACAGTCCCAAGGACAGCTGTTTTAAGAGTGCTAGTTGTGTACACGCTGTAATTAGCAAGCCTGCACCGAGACGATCTCCGATTCCCTTCTGTTCTCACCCTGTCGACACCATGCATTAAACCAGCTGCTTTATTTTAACCAGCATCCCAGGCTCCTCCCTATCTCATCTGGAGTTCTGATATTGCTGTAACGTTGGGCAATTCACCCTGCAAGACACTCGGGGCAGAAGTTGTTATTTTTCTGCAAGAGGTAATACTTAAATCCGAAGTGGAGTAATGTAAAATACCTGCTGTTGGAGCACAGCAGTGCAGAAATCTAACATCTAAGCTATGTTTTAGCCTGGAGTATTTTCCATGAAACACTTAGTATCTCTTTTTTTTTCTTTCCTTTTTCGTTTATATTTTAGGTACAGTTTCTGAGTGTGGATTGTGTGGGGTTTTCTGGCTGATACCTGTGAGGAAATTTAAGTTTATGTAGAAGTTGCAACATTTTGCTCAAAAGAGTAGGGCCATATTTGCTGTGGAAGGAGAGTTGGTTCTGCGTGAAAATTAATTATGTTTTCAGAGGTTTGTCACAAAAAAGTAGAAATTTCCAAGAGATTTTGATATTTGTTGCACGTGGAATTACTGGGCTGCCTGGGCCTCGCATGAGAAAAATGTGGCCTTGCCGTAAGCCTGCTTACTCTTTACTCGCCTGAAGATAAATATATATCTAAGTGCTTTGATGACACAACCGTATGTAAGTTTATTATGTCCCTTTATTACTTCAGCAACTCTGCACGGCAAAGCACAGCATGGCATCGTTATACATAATTTTAAGTCTCATTGACTTAAAACATCTATAATTGGATTTCTGAGGTGTGAATGGACACGTGTGCAGTGTTAGAGCCTTCACGCAATGGTCCTATCTATCTCTTAACACTTGCGAGATCTCTGTACGTTTTTAAAAGATTTTACTGGCAATTTCTGGGTGTTTATAGTCTCTTCATCAGAGCTAGTGGTGAAGGAATAGTGTTATGAGAGGTGAGGAGCTGTCGACTGGGAAAGTTGTACTTGAGGTAAGGACTAAGCATAAGGAATGAGTGAAGTGATATTTCTGTAAGTTGACCTGACTTCTGTGACTCATGGCTAAACACAGAGCAGTGGAGTGATGTGTCCAAAACCACAGAGCAGCTCAGAGGGGAAATGGGAACAGAACCAAGAAGTCCCAAATCTCCTTTGCCCCAGACAGTGGCACAGACCACACGTCAGTAACACACAGCGGGTTACAGAAGGCAAAGAGTAATAGGACACGTAAGTGAGACATCAGATAAGCAAAGAAAGGTAAAGATGGGGCACGAGATAAAGTCAGGCTGCACTGATAACGTCTGCTTTTGGAAAGGATGCCAAAGAGAGAGGAACAAGAGCCCGCTTGCTGATGTGTGGCACTTGGGAGCCACCAAGGTAAAACTCCCTAAGAAGGGTCCTGCTCCCCTGACCTGTGTTATGTGGGGGCTTTTTCTTTCCCCTGCCAATTTAGCGGGGGAGCTCAGGGAGCTGCACCCCTGTGGAAAGCAAACCAGCCCATTGAGCAGGGTGGTGTGATGAAAGGTGACAAATCCGGCTCCCTGGAGGAGTTCTTGAGTTTAGACCCTGTGATGTTTGCAACAGTCCCCTGCTTCCTGCCCTCCCCAGGGTGTTGTTTCCACTTAAAACCTTGTGCCGGGAGCCTTCTCCTTGTGTAAATGGCCACTATACATTTAATCCAAACAACCAGGTGACTCTGGCACAAAGGCAGTGGCAGTAAGCCAGTGTTAATGATTACCCTGGGCCCCTTGGGTTATGTAAGCCTGGATGTGCTGTACCACAGGCTCTCAGCTTGGACCTGCCCTCCTTATCTGGGAGAAATACCAAGGACCTGCCAACACCCATAGACAGCCATTCGGAGCCAGCTGGGATTTTCCTTCTCCCCTTTTGACAGC